TATTGTATTTATCTGCGTTAAGTAGAATAAAGGTTTAATTAAACACTTAATAATTAATATAATCTATTAAACTTTTATAGTAACATATAAATAAGAATACTTTTACATAGATACATAAACGAAATACGCGAAATTTAGATTAAAAACTCAACTGTTTACTATTAAAAATTCAGGTTAAATTGATTCAAAACTAAACTTATTTTTCAGTTTTAACACTTAATTAATGAATGAATCAATCTTGAAAAAAAGTTAAGGATTTGTTTTTTCTTATTAGTTGATAAAAATAATTTTTAATTTTTAAAAGTTAAAAGATTTGTTTACTTAATATTTTGCTAAAATAATTTTTAATATTTTTTGCTTTTTATTTTAAAAAATAAAAAATATAAAAACGAGATTTGATTACCATTTCTAATATAAAAAATTTTACTTTTTAATATATGCATAAACATTTTTTTTACAAATTCATTTGTTTTTTCTTCCTATAACTTTTTACGAAAAAGTTTGTTTTCCTTAAAGTAGTTTTTACAAAAGACTTTTAAAAAATAAAATTAATTTATTCATAAGATAAAATAAAAATTTCAGAGAGATTGTAAATAGAACTTCTACAACTTAGTTTAAAGATAACTTAATTTTAGCATATTTTTTTGTGTTAAGAATATTTTTTTATGCAAAACTCGTCATTAAAGAAAACCTCGAGAATTTTATATAGTTTCCCGCTCATAAAAACAAATGGCTTAAATTCTTATTTCTTTTCAATGATAGTATTTGACTAAGCAATAACAATATTAATTTCAAAGATTCGATATTTTAATTATTGAAAATAAAATTGTCTTAAAAATAAAATAAAATAAGTTTATACCAATTGTGATATATTTATAAATCTCATATTATTTATGAGTGATATATATATATATATATATATATATATATATATAATAATTTACTGAAATACATCTTAAACATAAACTATAATAGATGATTAAGCTCCAAAATAAACAATATTGAAAATTAATCCTTAATATATTTTAATTTAAGTTTGTTAAGCACAATTTATTAATTTTGCTAATACCGAATTTTCTTCTGCCAATATTATATATAATTTAATTGATTGCTTATTTAACTGGCATGGTTGCACCTTAAAAATTAAATAATAAATTTTGCCGTTCATAAAAATAAAATAAAAAATACACAAAGAAAAGAACCTACATTATTAGATTATAGGAGAGAATAGAGATGTTGTATATAAATAAGTGTGCACTAATATATTAATTATCCACATTTTTAATAGTGTATTATTGGTTACATGTCCATGACATATATACTGGATTTTATTTATATTATGTAGCTTTCATGTATGTAATCATTTTCTTCTTAACGTGGTATGTAGAGGCTGTTTATATATATATATATATATATATATATATATATATATATATATATATATATATATATATATATATATATATATATATATATATATATATATATAATAAGAGAATTAAGGTGTGCGTTTGAGAGAAAATAATTTGGGATATACTTTTATTTTTCTATAAAATAAATTTATGTACCTCAAATAAATAAATAAATAAATATAAGTTTTGTGTTTATTGCTAAAGTGTCTTGAAACACTTTAATTTTATCAAGTAATCATATCAACATGTAATGAACTTATAGGTTATTTTTAATAAGATCAGAAACATAAATCACAACTCAAATATAATATAACAGTTAAATCTTTGAGGATTAAATCTTAATTTATTTTAAAGTTAATATATTTAACTTAACTTGCGAGTAAAAATTCATAATAATTAACCACTTGCTAAAACAGCTAAAATTATAGCAAGAAAATATATTAAGATTTAAAAAATTACGATAACAATTCTAATTACAGAAGCACTTTATTATATATAAATACCCAGTTTAATGTTTTAGAAGCATAATGGAGTAAGTTAAAGTTTAAGAAAAGAATTTAATTTAATTTTTTTCAAATAATCATATAATTTTTCTTTTACTTAGATTTGTTAAAACTATATTCATACCTAAGTGCTGGTCTTATATATATGCTGAGTGAATCTAACAACATTCGTTGAAGAAGTTGTCAGTTTCTCAATTTGTTCAGAAAATTCTTTTCACTCCGTTTGAAGTTCTCTGAGCAAATTCTTTTTCACTTAGTAAAATTGAGGTAAAGAGAATGTTTAAAAAATCACTAAATAAAAAATAATGAATGAATTCTTTTTCCCAGTAAAAATAAGACCGAGAGCAATTTGATGTAAATCATAAAATAATTTTCTACAGTTAATGAAATTTGTTGGGTAAAGTTGAAAACTACAAATATTATCGAAAAAATTGGAAGATTTATTCAACAAAAATTTAATTTGCTGAGCAAATTACCTCAAAATCCAGAATCTTGTTGGAGATAAAGAAGAGGACCTTTTTACTTTTTTATATCTTTAGCATAAAGAAAGTTGAAAAAGAAAAAGTGAAGAACAATTAGACACCATTGAAGAAGCTTGGAAAAAGTGGTTTTCATTATTTTTCTTTCTTTGATTTGATCTATATTTAGAATATATTTTTTTTCATGTTACTAATTTAGTTTTTATTATTAATGTTTATCATACTCGAAAAGTTATAGTTTGTTGTTAAATATATATATATATAACTTTCATTGATGGTAAAATGGATTAAGTATGTTGTGTTAGTTTACCAATCTACTTTAAAAATGATGGGGTAAATAATTTTAATATGTCAGTTTGTGTTTTGACTTATCTCTTGTCAATCTAAGCCAAAAGTGGGGTGGGAGCAGGTTAATTCAATTATCTGCTTTAAAAAAATATTTATATATAAAAATTAAAATAAAAAGAATTGTAATTAAAAATATTATAATTTATTTTGTCATATATACTGTAATATTATAATTTAAATTATAAATATTAATCAATTAAGTTTAAATTATTGATTATAATTAATTATTTTAACATATAGATATAATAATTTTTAATATATTTAATAAAAATATTAATTAATAAATAAAAACTTAAAAATTATTTATATAATTAAAAGAGTATTTTTTAAATATATATAAAAAATATTGGTGAGCTACTCGCTAGCCTATCAGTATGTCTTTTGTAAAACAGATTAGAATCTAAAATTTATTTTAACTATGACAAATCAACTCATTTTATCATATTTTTAATAAGAGACGAGACAGATTAAAATGAAGTGGATTGACTCATTTTGTCATATTTAATAATTCTAGACAATTTTGATATATTATTTTGAATTAAGTCACCTAATGATTTTATTATTAGCAATAACAAAATTAAATTTATATTATATATTGTTAATGTTAAAACACTTTCATTTATTATATAATCAAAGAATTAATGATAATAAAAATTAAAATTTAACTATTGAGGAATAATAATTAGTGATTTTTATTAATATATTGATATGGAAAAATAAAAACTAATATGTAAGTGTGATTAATAGATATAGTTTATGTGTAATTCAATCACATCATATATATCTTGGTCTTTTTCCTTCAATTGTATAATTATTTGTTGTGGTTTAAATTTTATATTTCAATTAATCAATTTAAAATCAAATTTAAGATGATTTTGATATCAAATTTAAAAGAAACTATTTAATCCTTTAAAATAAAATAAAATAAAATAAAATAAAAAATTAGACCCTCCTAAACATTAGAGTTAAGAAATAGTTTTTTAAAATTATTTTAAACGTTTTAAATAGACTATTAAAAATTAAAAATATATTTAGCTAACTTTGAGAGATTAAATAAATTTTTTAAAAGTAAGAATTGAAAAAATAAAAACTATCACAATTGTCATAGATTAAAAATATAATTAAACATATAAGAATTGTCAAATTAAATACGCAACCATCGTTATAGAATTTACATTGAAATTTCTTTATACGACTACAATTCTTGTTTCTGGCGAAAACGACTGAATTATTTTATAAAAAAACTGTTGAGGTAAGTAATGGAGTTTTCATGTGGACGAAATTAAGAATAACAATATATAATAATTAGATAAGAAAGGGTAAACGGAAGGATCAAGTTCTTCTTCATGAAATTTCTCTATTTTTAATTATTGGTACAATAATTTAAATGTCAAGTATTTTAATATTATCTATGTAATTACAGGCATCAAATTTTAGATACAAAATTATTTTCTAACTGTATAAAGTTTACATTACTCATTTTAAAAAAAGTATATTAATTATTATATTTATAAAAAAAATTTAACTAATAATAAAATTAATAAAGTTTAATATATACATATGATTATTCGGAAAAGTAACTTCTTCTCAGGTATTTTCTGTATCTGTTTAAGAGTATGTTCCTAAAATTGTTGATACTCATTTTTGTATATAACTATACACAAACGTTGACTGCTATGCCATGTACTATCCAGCGTAATAAGCGTAGACTCTTTCATATTACATCAACCACTCTTTTTCCTCCATCCACAAAACCAAAATCCTTAAAGTTTGATTGAGATTTGAGGGTGCTTCTTCTGTTATATTTTCTCTCCAAAATCAAAATCTGTTCAACCCTTTTCCTCCTCAGATCCTTACCTCCTTTCTAATCATCAAACTTTGTGATCTGTACCTCTCATCCACAAATGCTTTTGTCAAAGAACGGCCATAGATTCTTCAAATTCAGAAGCCATGTTTCATGCCCTTGTCTTATATACGGTCTTATCATTTTCTGATAACCTTTTCATCCTCATCAAAACCTCCTCCTCCACAAGTATCTTCAACCAAAGCTCTCATTAGCCTTTTGGCTCACAAATCACGATCTTTGGTGTGACCTTATTGCGGGACAACGCCCCATCATTGGTCTTCTTTAATCCATACAACACAGTTTCCTTTGTCTCACTACGAAATATCTCTCAGAGTGGCACCTCTTTCTATTGCCACTCCAACTCCTATTTAATCTAAGTTATTCACCCTAAGGTTGTTGGTAGTTCACACCAATGGTTCACAAGCATTTCTACGAGCTTTCATGTGGAGTTGTTGAAATGGCTTGGATCATGCTTAGTGTTGACTACTCCCGGCTCTTGTGGCAATTGTTTGGTGTCTTTTCCTACGAGAACCATGAATGGAAGCCTCGGATCATCTAGCACACCCTTCAGTTTAGTCACATAACATAGTTACATATAATATTATTTAATTTGTTGCTAAGTTTTCGATACAAGTATCTGTAAGTGTAGAACACATCAGAATTGTGGCGAGTGATCGAGCCACAGCAAGAGCCATGTACAAGGGTAGTTTAGGAGGCAAAGCTCAACTTGGATATGTTGAAACTGATCCTTCTGGTCGATATGGTCGTGTAAGTGTTTCTCATTCATTTTAACTTCATCTTCCTTTTTTTTTTTTTTTTTTTTTCTGAATGGATCATTAACCTTCTGACTAATCGGTCTGATAATCAGAATATCGTGACTAAGATGGAGGGATATGATATGATAAATTCATGAATATGTTCTTGTGAGCTAAATTTGAATCGGGATGCTATAAAATTTTGAAAAAAACTTTAGTAATTGATACCTATTAGCCATTTTAATCTCCAATATTAGTATGGATAATTCAGTTTGTCTCTGCCATAAAAAAGGAAATTAACTGATAGCTGTCAAAGTCATAGATCTAATTAATGATGGTTGTCAAATTTATCATATTCATTTCATAATCTTAGGATGAAATTGATTGATAATGCTAATTGTAGAAATCAATTAATTGATAATTCTCAAGTCAGAAGACAATTTTGACCTTTATTAATTACAAATTAAATTGACAGTTGATAGTACTAATTTCAAGGAACTAAATTAATATTTTACAAAATTAGTCTCCCATAAAAATTGGTTTTGCTCTCAATACAGCATATTTTTTTGTTACAGGCCAATTTTGTGAAATTACGCAATGCATAACTATTTCTTTTATTAGAAAAGGGAAGATTTTTTTTATTTTCTTTATATATTTTTTTTCAGTTGCCGTCTTTAGATTAAGTCAAATTATGATAAAGTAATTAAATAAGGACCATATGTTCTGTTTTGTCCTTTACCAAGTCCTGGTTTATTGTAGTGACGCACAACCTTACAGAAGGTTATCTTATCTCCCTAGTACACTCAAGGGTCATTTGTTTTAAGAGCCAAATTCAATGGCCAAAACAAAACCATGTTACATCAGTTAAGTTTGACTAATAATGCAAACTAGTATTACATGTAAACTAATCTTATTTATTTTGGCAAACTAATCTAGTTGCTGGTTGGTGTTAACATTAAATTATTGATTAATTTCTTGCTTGTTATGTTTATTGGTGTGTGTAGTTCAGGGATATTCTGGGCAAAGGAGCAGTGAAGGTAGTGTATAGGGCATTTGATGAGGTCCTAGGACTAGAGGTGGCTTGGAACCAAGTCAAGCTTGGTGATGTCTTCCATTCACCAGTTCTACTTCAACGCCTTTACTCAGAGGTTCATCTCCTTAAGAACTTGGAACATGATTCTATCATGACCTTCCATGATTCTTGGATTGATGTCAATTGTAGAACCTTCAACTTCATCACTGAATTGTTCACCTCTGGCACCCTAAGAGAGTAATATTATGAACCACGTCTTACTGATATGTTTATATCTTTGAGCCCTTTGATTAAAGAGCATTTCCTGCATGAATACAGTGCTTATTGACACAACCAACCGAAAGTTCAAGTTGAAATTCAACACCTTCAACATAGACTATATTTTTAAAAGACAACTTATATCCAGTTGCTTAAATGTTTTGTTCTGTTCTTTTAATCAGAATTGGAATTTCATCTAAATGAAACAAATCAAATTCTGGTTAAGAAATACAGACAGTTCATATTTTAGCTTAGTAAATCATAGTTAAAAACATGCAATTAAAATTTAAACTCTGATACGTTTAATCTTCATTTATAAATATCGTGACATAGATAAGGCAAATTTGACTGCTCTGAATCCAGTTCCTTCTAGTACATCTTGAATTTTCAATAGGTTATGCTTATAAACCTTGTATTCATGTAAAAATTACTCTTTAAGAGACTATTTTTCTTAACTTTACAAAAGTCCTCTTATTTTTGTGATAACAATAATAACTTATTCATGAATACTGCATGTAAATGTAGGTACAGAAAGAAGTACAAGCGAGTAGATATCAGAGCAGTGAAGAACTGGACACGCCAGATTCTAAGTGGTTTGGAGTATTTGCACAGCCATGACCCTCCTGTGATTCATAGAGACCTCAAGTGTGACAATATCTTCATTAATGGCCATCTGGGGCAGGTCAAGATTGGTGATTTGGGCCTTGCAGCTGTTCTTCGTGGCTCCCAACATGCACACAGTGTCATAGGCAATTTCTTTCTCTTTTAGTTCGTACTTGAATAATCAGTTATTAGTAATCTAAGCTAAATCTCTGGTCTACAAAACTGAAATTTTTGTTTGGTTGAGAATTCAGGTACACCGGAATTTATGGCACCAGAATTGTATGAAGAGGAATATAATGAGCTGGTTGATATATACTCCTTTGGGATGTGCATGGTAGAAATTTTTACATCTGAGTTTCCATACAGCGAGTGCTCCAACCCTGCTCAAATATACAAGAAAGTTACTTCAGTAAGCTTTATTCTTTTTATTCTGTTAGGATCAGATTGTATTTCACACGAGATAGGATCAACTTTTAAAAACTTGATTTTGTAAAATTAGTTCTGCTATAAAATTTAAATGAAGTGGTTTACGTTTGGAAGTTTTTAAGTTAAAAATACATTTCTATCAACCAATAATATAGTCAAATTAAAATACATTTGTAAAGAACAATCTTAACTTCAAAAATTGATTTTGAGATATTGAATTAGATTCAAATCCACAATTTAAAGAGATAACATAACATTATTCGGTTTGGTTAGAAAATAAATCATTAGAAATATTATATTATGTTCAAGTAAAAAAGAAATCAAATATTTTTTACTAGAAAGTGACGTTTAGAACTTCCAAGTATGAGTTTGGGAGACTCTTGGCACCAATCCAAAATATAGTCATAATTAAAAACACATGCTAAAGTTAGAGACTTCACTTAAGTTAGTTGAGAGGTGAGGATTGTACCAAAGCATTATCTTAAGGTTTTGTGATAGTGATTCAAGACATGCCCAAGCTAGCTCTCATTTCACATATTTGACTGATATGATTCAACAGGGGAAGCTGCCAGAAGCCTTTTACAGAATCCATGACTTGGAAGCCCAGAGGTTTGTGGGAAAATGTTTGGCAAATGTCTCTGAGAGGTTATCAGCAAAGGAGCTCTTGTTGGACCCATTTTTAGCCAAGGACCAACTAGACTCTCCACTGCCTAGCCCTACATTACCCAGAAAACAAACCCCCACACTCAATTTCACTGCACCACTAGCCAAAGAGCTATCTCCAATGAGTGACCAAACAAAGGACACACACATGACCATCACTGGATCAATCAATGAAGAGGATGACACAATTTTCCTTAAAGTACAAATTTCTAATAAAAGTGGTATGCAAGCATAATTGCATCACATGATACAATCATTTTGTGTTACATATAGTTGGTTGCTTCAAAGCTGTATTTGCATGCAGGGGAAAAGAGGAATATATTCTTTCCATTTGACACCATAAACGACACTGCGATTGATGTGGCAATAGAGATGGTTAAAGAACTTGAAATTAGTGACTTGGAACCATTGGAGATTGCAGAGATGATTGAGGAAGAAATATCAGCTTTAGTCCCAACATGGAGGGATTGGGGCTCCTCTAAGTATCAAAGACAACATAGTTTTAGCTATGAAGAAGAGTATGATATGAGTAACCACCACCGTTACTTCTCATCATCTTCTCGCTCTTCCTCTCATGGTTCTTCCCATAAGAATAATTCCCACCTCCGCGGGAACCAATACCCTTTTGCCAAAGATTGGCCTCAAGGTACTACTCTTTCAACTTAGAATGCAATAACTTTTCAAATTTGATTATTTACAATTTAAAATGTTGTTTGATAAGAAGAAAATAAAGCATCAATTTGATTCCTGAAATTGAAATCAACAATAAACTTGGTCCTTAACATAGAAAAAATGTGAGACTTTAGAAGTTATCTTTTGGACACCCCTAAATAATAGCCTATGCTAATTAATGATTTCTCAAGAAAAGCTATTACTATTGTTTTCAGTGCCATTAAAGATTTTGATTTGGCCACCACTATGAACTATTTTGCAGATGAACTATTTATGAACGATGATGCAAGCTCTCAAAGCTCAATGAACTCCTTCAAGTGTTTCAATTTCAATTACTGTGACCCTGGCATTGAAGATGGGCATGATCCAACTTTAGTACTAGGAGAAGAAGCCCTTTGCTACTCCCCAAAAGGCAACGACAATTTCACAAGATTCTGTCCTCGAGAAGAAGTGGAAGATGCTGATTTCACCAAACAGTTTTGCAACATGAGAATGGATTCTCATAGGTATCATGGAATCCAGAGGCTAACCAGATTGCGTTCCTTTGTGGATCCGAGGAGACAACAACTGCAACGATCATTGATGGAAGAGATTCACAAGAAAAGGATGTTCAAGACGGTTGGTGCCATTGAAAACATTGGGTTTCAGAATCCAGAGGGAGGTGCGAATTTTTCTTATTAAAGTTTTATCAATGGATTCCAATGCTATTTTTTTTGTTTAATTTGTTCTATTTTGGGTGTTCATTAATTATTGTATTGCTTTATGCATCACAATGTCCGTGAATATTTGTATACTATACAGACTCATAGAATATTACAAAATAAAACTTGTAATATATTTTATCTATGGCTATGTCAATATATGTTTGTAAGACGCTTTTTGTGACTCTTTCTTAAGACATTAGAAAGCTAATGTTGGCTGTATGTTGATTGATGACCTGATCTAGAACCACACGGTCCTTTCGAAAATGCAAAATAGTATTTTGATTATCACGATAGGTAAGACTCGGTGAAGTAAAAGCAAGACATAGCTCATGCAGAACACTATTCAGAATTTGTAAGATTTTGTGTACATGTATTTGTGATATAAGACGTGGGTATATTTCTATTTATGTACTAATATAGAGGGAAAATATTACAAAATATTAAATATTAATAATATTTCAATCATAACTTCCTAAATCAAAATAATAACTTAATATCTTTTTATCTTCTCTCTTAAAAGAAAATAAAATATCTTAATACCTAATTTAAATAAAAGATAATAAAGTAATATTTTCAATATTTCTCCTTACTTTAGTATCTATTTATTTGACTTTGATATTTTTCCTTTTTATTTTGCTTATAATTTTTCCTTTTTTTTATATACTTCTTGTCATCTTCTTTCTAGAACGAGATCACATCTTCGTTCAACTTCACGTTCTTCATCAAAATATTTCTTCCTTTATCAATTTCATCTCTTTTGTTTCTTTCAAACTTCATGGTAGTACTATTGACTATATGATGGATGTTGAAACGGTTTCTTTATCTACATCTTTATTTTCCTCTTTAACATCAAGTTTCTTCAAGAAATCTTCTTCATGTTTTTTCTTTGACTTTTCTTTTATATATTTGTTTGTAATCAACTCTCTTTCATCAAATCTAAAGTGAAACTTTTTCTTTCACGTGAACTTTGAATATTTTCAAGTGATCTGTATCTTTAATCACACAAAGTTTGTGACCAAAAGACACTTTATAACTTTTCTCCAATAATTGAACAACACTTAACAAATTATGATTAATATCAGGAACATATAAAACATCAAAAATCAATTTGATACCCGAATGACTTTTAACTGCAATTGTTCTCGTACCTTTCACATCCATTTGTTCTCCATTACTGATTCTCACTTTAGAAATATGTGATTCGTTGAGTTCTTTGAAAAGTTCTCGATCATGAGTCATGTGATTTGTACAACCACTGTCTATAAGCCAACCTGTGGATTTGTTTATTGTAGAGCAGGTTGATGTAAGGAGAAGTTCTCATTCTACTCCATCCTCTGTAACTTGAAGAAGTTCTCATTCTACTTCATCCTCTATAATCTTGATGACTTCTTCTGGTTGTGATTTGCATATCTTTTTTATATGTCCCAATTGACCATATTTTCGACATCTTACATCAGGTCTCCACCAACACTTGTTGGGTGTGTGATTATTTTTCTTGCAATAAGGACAAACAGAAAAGACTCGTGATTTTGTATCTTTGTTGTCTTTTGGTTGTGATTTTGTATCTTTGTTGTCTTCTGGTTGTGATTTGCATATCTTTTCTATATGTCCCAATTGACCACATTTTCGACATTTCACATCAGGTCTCCACCAACACTTGTTGGGTGTGTGATTATTTTTCTTGCAATAAGGACAAACAAAAAAGACTCGTGATTTTGTATCTTTGTTGTTCTAGGCTTAGAGAGAACCTCCATCATGATATATTAAATAACCTTCACCAGCAGCATGATCTCCTCTCATCAATCTCCGTTGCTCTTGCGCTTGTAAAGCATGTAGCACTTTTATCAAAGTAATTTTAGACAAATTCTTTGTGTTTTTCAATGATGTAATAGATGTTTCATATCTCTCTAGTATAGTTACCAGAATTTTCTCAACTATTCTGGAATCAGGAAATTCTTCTCCTAACAATTTTATTTTGTTAGCAATACCCAACACTTTGTTTGAGTATTCATTAATTATTTGAGACTCTTGCATCTTTTGTATCTCAAATACCCTTATCAAGTTTAGAACTTTCATACCTCGAATTTTCTCATCCCTTCATATTGATCTTTCAAATAATCCCAAATTTCTTTGGGTGACTTTAGCGTCATGATTCTGGTGAGGATCATTTGTGAGACACCAACAAACAGACATGATTTAGCTTTTGTCTTCCTCATTTTTCTTTCTTTGTGAAATTTCATTTCAGCTATGGTGGGATTTTCAGGTAGTGGATCAACAATATAACCCTTGTTGAATTATTGGCACAATATAACCCTTGCTATAGAATATACTTTAGGCACAATATAACCAGCTTGTTGAATTGATACTGCAACCGCTACTACTAAATTATCGATAATACTTACAATATAAGTATTTCGATAAAATAAAAATCGATCCACACAAGATATACAGTTATTCAATAGAAATTCCTAATTATGCTTACTAAAGTAGATTAAATAAATTGAGTTTTGCAAATAAGAGTTGAGGCTGAAAGTTAATATGACAACACTAAACTGCTAAATTGTTGAGGGTAATCTAGGGTTCAAGATATATTTTCCAATCATACCTCAAACAATCAAGAATAAATCATTCCAAAACATAAAAGATAAGAATAACAACATCAAAGCATAGATTAATATCTCAAAATATCACCATGATACAAAAGAGTTCAAAGGAAATGCACTTAATCCTAAGAGAATGAAGTTAATCATTCATGTTGGCCATTACAATGCTCTAATTGATGAAGAAGTGAAGAATTGATGAAAATTAGATGAAACCCTAACAATAGTCGTGCCTCCTCTTCTCCAAGACTACTTGCTTTCTCAAAACACATCTTATCTTTTTATAAGAGAATTTGGTTCGGGTCTCGCATTATTTATTCGCTTAAGTGTTCTTCTTTCTTTCAATTTTTCTCTAATTATACTGACAATTATGTTCTTTACTCTTGTATCAAGGTACTCTCGAATTCATCCAATATTGGGAGAAAAATATATTAGAATTAACATAAGTTGGTTTCATAATAATTTAAGGCATAATTATATCAACTTTTTACCACTTAACAACTCTCTTCTACAGCTTCCCATACATTTAATCCTTCAATATAGGATTGCATTTTCATAGCCTATAAGTCATAACTTTCGTCATCAAAAACTGAAATAGTGACTTGTGAAAAATTTCTTTCTCCTTCTATTGTATCGAACCAAAGCTCTTGATACCAATTTGTTGAGAATTTTTAGGGTTTTGTGTAGATGTATTTCTGATATATCATATGGGTATATTTCTATTCATGTACTCTATATAAAAATATTACAAAATATCAAATATTAATAATATCTCAATCATAATTGTCTAAATCAAAATAATAACCTAATATCTTTTTATCTTCTCTCTTAAAAGATAATAAAATCTCTTAATACCTAATTTAAATAAAAGATAATAAAGTAATATCCCAACAGTGGCGGATCTTCTTGGAGTGAGAGGGCCGTGGCCCCCAAAATTTTGTAACTCCCATGTAATTTATGATTTTGGCCCCCAAACATAATGAACATTTAATATATTTACTTATATATTTATAATTTTATCCTCTCGACCCTCGTCAGTTTTAAAACTCTCATATAATTTATGATTTTATTCTCCTCAAACTTAATGATCATTTAATATATTTAACTATATATCTAGAATTTTATCTTTTCACCTTTTCATCTTTTTTTTATATTTATTTATTATTTATTAATAATATATTATTTGGCTCCCTAAAATGAATGGTCAAGATCCGCTAGTGATTCCCAACAAAGATAAACAAATCCATTGTGTGATTCTAATACAGTGAATGCCAATGCTTGTTCGTGTTTGAATAACCACCAGAATTGAAAAAGTGTAAGCAACTATTTGTTGATTTGTCTTCCAATATAGAATTGGAATCAATTATGATATAATTGAATTTAATCCAAACACGCACTTAAATTTGACCACATCATTGGATCTTGAGATTGTTGGTAGGTAGCTTTTTGAAACAAAAGACAATGAAAGAAATCAAATCCAGTCAATGAACCCTGAAACTTGATCCTCGAGATCTCATCCAATCCAAAATCCACTAGACTCCGGTCATGATCATAATAGTCCAGAAGCATTTTTCTCTAAATTTTTCTACTCTGAAAACTAAAATCCTGCCTTAAGCTTGGTAATAATGGAAATGATCTAAGATACCATTGAAATATTAGAATATCTACCATGATAGCTGTAGGACCAAGATGATGAAAATTGATGAACAAACATTCAAGTATCTTTTCTGCTACAACTAACATGTAACTTTGAACCATGGACCCTGCCTATTTTAAACCTATAAATAATCATGTACAAAATATACAGCATTGAAAATGTGAGGCATAGGTGAAACATAAATTTGATGCATGTGGCCTCCTACTGCACATGTGAGCAATAGGTTAAGCAGAAAGTATACAGCATGTGGTCATGACAGAAGAGAAAGATAAAACTTGAAAGCTTAAGGGATGGCAATAAGTACTGCAGGTTTAAATGCATGTTTGGGGATAGTCAAAGGTTTCAAATTCAAAACTTATAATGCACTATCTGGCCGACATATTAATTTGAGCAAGTTTTAAAAAAATAAAGTTAGATCAATTTGCTTAAATATTGAATACTCACTAATAGGTTGAATTTGTGATTATAGACAAAATAATTGAGGTTTGTAGAAGAGGCTTGTATGGTAATACATTGTTTGCCTCTAGCCCCTCTAATGAATAAAGAATAATTCTAAAACCTTCTTTAAGTCTTCCTACTAATCCTGCTACTTGCTAAATAAAGTAAGTACTGATTGAAGTTTTCAAAATGTCAAATGCATTTATTTAACAGGCATCCCCCATGCACAACAATTGAGCATTGTGGATTTTATGTTCAATCCAGAAGAGGTCTCCTATCAAC